CTACGCCGTGCTATGCCGTGCTTTACCATGCACCGCAAACCCTCTCGGGATCATTGCCTCGCTCGACATTAGCCTGTGCGCGTAGAGAGGAGATCTGCACCATAGAAAGGCTGGGGGGGAGGGGTATGACGACAGATATGACGCGAGCGCGCCTAGCTTGTCTCTCTCCCCCTTCCCCTTCCCCTCCCTCCCCCTCCCTTCCCTCCCCCTCCCCTCTCTCCTCCTCCTCCTCCTCCTCCTCCTCCTCCTCCTCCTCCTCCTCCTCCTCCTCTCCTCCCCTCCCTCCTCCCCCCCTCCCCCCCTCCCCTCCCCTCCTCCCTCCTCCCTCCTCCTCCTCCTCCTCCTCCTCCTCCTCCTCCCCCTTCCCTCCCCGGGTGGTGGCCCGCGCCGCCCGACGCGGCCGCCCGCCGCGAGGATCCGCGGGGGGGTCTGCGGCGACCGGCGGTCTCCGTGGGCCGCTGGCTCGGGGCGCCGCGGGATGGGGGCCACGAAAAAATCACGACGGAAGGTTTGTCGCCACGTTCGGCCTCCGGGGGCCCCTTACCGGGCCTCCGGACCTTCAGAAAACGACTCAGGTCGAAACCTCTGGGGGTCGACGTCGTGAACAAAATCACGACGTCGGGGGTCTGGGATCGGGGCTGAAGTGACGGAGGTCAATGCAAACGGGGGTCAGCCAGAGCGCCCGATCTTGCAGGATCTTGCAGAGCCAGGGCTGCATTGACCCAGGTCAGGGCGCAGGATCCTGTAGGATATTGCAGGATCTTGCAAATAGCCCGACTGACCCAGGTATACACCGACCCGCGTCAGTGCGTCTCCGAGAGGAGGTCCACGCTTGAAGTGGGCATGGCAGGGATCTGGGCGAACCCCGACATTTCAGACATTTGGAGTTTCGACTCGTTCGGGACACGGTCCCCCGACCTCTCGACCATTTCTCCGGGACAGGTGCTTCACCCCGAGTCGCTTCTTGCTGGTCCCTGGGCCCAGCAAATGCCCTGAGAGGTCGGAGACGATGAGAAACTTCCGTCTCGATTTCTCCGAGGCGCCGGAGGTCCGACACCCTCTCGTCGTAAACCAACCACGGCGCAGGGCTTTTACACTTTTTGGTTTCTGAGGGCCCTCCGCGGGCCCGGGGGCCGGTAAAAGACGATTCACAATGAAAAGCTGGTCCTGGGGGAAGGGGCCCAGACCTCTGGGGACCAAGCGGCTTCTCCTGCGAGGCCTAGGCGGCTTCTACTCCTTGCCCTCCTGGCGGGGGCCCGTGTCGGGGGGGTGGCCCCCTCCGCGCGCCTCGGGCGCGCGCGCGCGGCCGCGGCCGCGCGAACAGCTTCGTCCAACGGGACATCGAGCTGCGAGCGAAGCGAAGCGAAGACCTCTGGGGAGCGTCGTTGCGAACAAAAAAGCACGACGTCGGATGCCTGGTGAGACCAGCCGGGCGTGCCCAGGAGGAGAGGCGCACGCCACGCCCTGCAGGGGGTGGAGGCGTGCGGAGGTAGGCGAAGGCGCGCGGCGCGAGGGCGAGAGCCTCATTTTGAAAGCTACCGGCCTTCCATCCCTGTGATTGCTGCGCGCTTTGACTCCAAAGGTGCGCGCCGCGAGGGCGAGAGCCTCATGAAAACAACACTGGCCCTCCATCCTTGTAACAGCTGCAGGTTTTTAAGCTACAGGATAACAACTTGCAATGATGTCTCAAGTGACCCCCTCCCCCGGCCTACAGACACGTCTGGTGGTGCGACAGGGGGGAGATATGTGTCAGGAAAAGAGATGGAGGAGGAGGAGGAGGAGGAGGTTGGGGATGGGAGCAGGATGATTCTGCTGTTGCTGCTGATGATGCTGCTGCTGCTGATGCTGGTGATGGTGATGGTGATGGTGATGATGATGATGATGGTGATGATGGTGATGATGGTGATGATGGTGATGATGGTGATGATGATGCTGCTGCTGATGATGACTATGATGATGATGCTGCTGCTCCTGCTGCTGCTGCTGCTGCTGATGATGATGATGATGATGATGATGATGATGGTGGTTGTGGTGGTGGTGGTGGTGATGGGGATGAAGGAGCGGGGGGATGCGGTGGAAGAGAACGTTTTGCGGGGTGTCAGCGGGCTTTAGGCGGTTCTGGAGTTTTCCAGGGGGCTAGGGAGAGGAGGATAGGGGGGAGGAGACGGAGTTGGGGGGTGAGGGGAAGGTAGGGGGGAGGGGGAGGAGAGCCTGGAGCGGCAGGGAGGTCAGGAGAGGTGTTGCCTGCCAGACATTGTTTCTAAGTTTCGACTCGACTTGCTGCTGCGTTTTCGATCGTCTCGGTCATGCTGGCTCTGTCGGCCTGCCTCCGTCCTCTCTTCTCTCCTCAGTCCCCTCTTTCCCCTTTTTCCATCGTTCCCCTTGTTCACCTTGTTCCTCCCCTTCCCCTCCTCTTATTTCTTCCCCTCTTCCCTTTCCCTCCTCTCCTCCTCCTCCGACTCCTCACTCCTCTCCTCCCGCTCCGTCGCTCAAGACAACCCAAGACAGCCCCAAGAGGGATCCAGACGGCCCATGATCGCCCCAAGACGGCCTCAGACGGCCCCCAGAAGCGCCAAGACAGCCCAAGAGGGCCTCCGGAGGTCCCAACAGCGCTACGAAGCGACGGCCGAAGAACCCAAGATGCACCCGATGCGGCTCAAGAGGGCCCCAAAACAGTTCCCAAAGGGAAGAGGCGCTCGAGCTGGCCGACGAGGCCTCTCAGAATGTTCAGCTTCAGCTCCTCCTCCGAACACATCCAATCTTTCGAGCTTGCCTGTCGCTTTCCCACTTGATTTCCTTCTTTCGGCTCGTCCAAGATCATCCAAGCGTCTGAGGTTTCTTTTCCCCATCGTCACGATTCGTTTTCCGCTGTGACCGATCCAAGCACAGTGTCGTGTTTCTTCCCGGCTTCGTGGGATTCGCTGGCCGACATGGCACAGCTGTGTTTGGGTTCTCCCACGCATTCGCCACTCCTGTCACTCCGTGGCTTGGGAGGAGCATGCGGCGCGCCTGGAGAGGCTGGCCGAGCGAGCAGAGGAACGCGTGCAGTCGAGGCCAGCAGCTCAGACGAGGTAGATCAGGAGATAGATCAGCTGGAGAGCACGACTTGCCCGCTTTGTACTCTTTGTACTTCGCATTTTGTGGCCGCAGCCGTTTAGGGGTGTAGCGTGTCTCCTTTGAACAAGCCCCAGAGCCTGAAGCGCAGGGATCCTCCTCGAGAATCGCGAGCGCAGGCTGGGATACCCCCCATGGGGGCGGAATGTGAAGGGACAAGTTTGGATGCTGGCCGTTAGTGCGGCCCGTGACGAGTAGCGCAGTGCGGTTTGCTGGGTATTCGTGTGGGCGCCGCGTGCTCCAATTACGCCTCGGCCCAGCCAGTGGAAGTGCTGCCTGTCGTGTGAGGCTCTGGAGATCTCGTAAAATCCTGGCGGGTCGGGACCGTGGGAGAGAGAGGAGATCGACCAACAAAAACAAACGGCACCGCTCCACCTACGGCCCTCCATGGTGCGCTACGGCCCATCGAGGGCCCGTAGCGCATACCGCGCAAGAGCCCACGCCAGATTTCCCGGTATACGCTGAGCCCCGTGGGGCCGTAGCTGGGCTGGTGTCGTTTGTTCTCTGGCCCAGGAGGGGCTCACTGGCCGTCCCTGCAGAATTCGCACTCCAGGGCCTGCTTGTTCGCATGGTGTATGCCCGTGCCGGGCCGTCTGCTCTGGCTCCGTAGGATCTGGCATGGTCGTGTGGGACAAGGGGTCGCGCCGGTTCCACTCTCGGGGGGTCGCGCGGGCTCCTCGTGCCTTCGCTTTCTTCGTTCGCTTTCTCCTTGGGTCCCTTGTGCCTTTCGTTCGCTACGCTTTCGGGTTCCCTCGTTCCCGGCTCCCTCGTGTCCTTCTCGTCCCTTGTTCCATCGCTCCCTCGCTCCCTCGCGCCTGGATGCGCTCTCTCTCTCTCTCTCTCCATTCCTCGTTTTTTCGTTCCTTGGCTTTCCTGGCGTGAGGAGCGCGGGCATGGGGAGGGAGGTGCGGGAGTGGGAAAGGGGAGTGGAGAGGGGGATTAGGATGCGGTATGGTGGACAGGGGAGATAGGGAATAACGGGATGAAGCAGTAGGAGGCGGGAGAAGGAGGAGGAGGAGGACGAGGAGGAGGAGGACCAGTGTAAACCAAAAAGTTATCAACGATGTTGGAATTCACCCGCCCTCTAAGCTCCCTCGTCATATAGGCCCCATACAACGGTTCATTTCCATTGAGGGAACAGCATCGTTGGAAAACAACCGTTTGAAGACCCTGGATCATGCTAGAACGTTGTTCTCGGAATTTCAACGCCACGGATCAACCTGATTGCTGCGTCTTGACGATCCAGAATCGTGCCAGAGCGCCATTTTTGGGACTTCAACACCGCGAGTCAACATAACTGTTGCACCCGCATAATCCTGAATCCTTCCAAAACGCAGTTTCTGGTAAGTTGATCATGGGAACTCCTTGAACGTCTTCCAAATTTTCGAAACGAATGCGCGCGAGCCCAGTTTTGAAAAGGAACCGCCCTCAATCCGTAAAGCTGTTGTAATCTTTTACACGAGTGTGCGCGGCGCTGAGGCGAGAGCCACATTTTGAAAACCACCCGCCCTCAATCCGTGAAGTTCTTCAACATTTCTAAAACGAATGTGCGCGGCACTAAGGCGAGAGCCACATTTTGAAAACCACCCGCCCTCAATCCGTGAAACTCTTGTTCTTTACAACGAGTGTGCGCGGCGCTAAGGCGAGATCCACGTTTTGAAAACTACTCGCCCTCAATCAGTGAAACTCAGGCATTTTTTTTTTTCAACCAGTGTGAGCGGCGCTCAGGCGAGAGCCACATTTTGAAAACCACTCGCCCTCAATCCGTGAAGCTCTGGCAAATTTTTAAAACGAATGTGCGCGGCGCTAAGGCGAGAGCCACATTTTGAAAACCACCCTCCCTCAATCCGTGAAGCTGATGCCACTTTTTCAGCTTCAGACTCATAAATGGTGAGGAAGTCTCAGACGAAACGCCCGACCCGCCCTAAAAACTGGTCTCGGGGCGTTACAGGGATTAGCTGGTTCTAAGGCAAAGAAACGGAGGAGGAGGAGGAGGAGGAGGATGCGGATGAGGAGGATGAGGAGGAGGAGGAGTAGGAGGCGGATGAGGAGGAGGAGGAAGAGGAGGAGGAGGGGGGGGACACGGAGGAGGAGGAGGAGAAGGAGGAGGAGGAGGAGGAGGATATGAAGATGGAGATGGAGATGGAAGAGGAGGAGGAGGAGGAGGGGCAGGATGAGGATGAGGATGAGGAAGAGGAGGAGGATGAGGCGGGAGAGGGGGGCGGAGGAGGAGGAGGACGAGGAGGAGGAGGAAGAAGACGAAACCTAAGAGTATGAATAATACTACGGCGATTTGTACGAGGAGTATCAATAATGCTAGTAAGTGCAGTACTGCGACTGCTAGGAATAACAACCATACTACTAATGGCAGTACTAAGACGATTACTCACACTGCTGCTACTACTACTACTACTTCTACTTCTACTTCTACTTCTGCTTCTACTTCTACTTCTACTTCTACTTCTACTTCTACTTCTACTTCTACTACTACTACTACTGCTGCTGCTGCTGCTGCTGCTGCTCCTACTGCTACTACTGCTACTACGACTACTACTACTACTGCTACTACTACTACTCCTACTCCTACTACTCCTACTCCTACTCCTACTCCTACTCCTACTACTACTACTACTACTACTACTACTACTACTACTACTACTACTACTACTACTACTACTACTAACTACTACTACTACTACTACTACTACTACTACTACTACTACTACTACTACTACTACTACTACTACTACTACTACTACTACTACTACTACTACTACTACTACTACTACTACTACTACTACTACTACTACTACTACTACTACTACTACTACTACTACTACTACTACTACTAAGGCACATGCTAATGCAATGGAGAATAATAACAACAAGTCATACCATTACGACGCCTAATTTTCATACTACTACTAATAAGAAGAAGCCGCATCATACTACTAGGAGGATGGGGAGGAGGTGGAGGAGGAGGAGGAGGAGGAATAACACCAATAATAGTGATGATACTGCGGTTAATAATAACACGAATACTACCAATAATACGAGTGATGGGAAAACGAGGGGGAAGAGGATCAGCAGGAGGAGGAGGAGGTGGTGGAGGAGGAGGAAGAGGAGGAGGAGGAGGTGAGAGGATGAGGAAGAGGAGGAGGAGGAGGAGGAGGAGGAGGAGGAGGAGGAAGAGGAGAAGCTTTCACGGACGTGGCCGGGAGGCATTTTTTTGCGTTGTTGCGCACGCTCATATATGGAGGGAGTTCTTGAGGTTGGTGGGCGACTGGGGGATGGCTTCGATGTGTTGCGAAGGTCTTACGGCCAGTGCCGCCGACCCTGAATGTTGACGACGACGACGACGACGACGACGACGACGACGACGACGACGACGACGACGACGACGACGACGACGACGACGACGACGACGAGCGCTCTCAGTTGCCTCTTGGGGGTAGTTTGGGGGCCTCTCGGGAGGCTTTTGGAGGCCGCTTGGGAGCCTCGTGGGGGCCTCTTGGGGCTTCCTGGGTGTCTCTTCGGGGCCTCTTGGGGCCTCTTAGGGGCCTCTGGGGGCCTCCTGGGAGCTTCTCAGGCCGAGGGCTCGACATGACCGTTCGGCTCACTCGTCTGGGCTCCCTCTTGGAGCTGTCTTGGGGGCCTCTTCGGCACCGATGCTGGTGATGACGATAACGATGATGCTGTCCATGCGATGATGATGATGAAGGTGCTTGATTGATGATGGCGGCAATGGTGGCGATAGTCGATGATGATAACGTGATGCGGCGTCGCTGGTGAGAGTAATGTTAAGGAAGTGCGCGCGCACATAGATACAGTATTTGTGATGAGAACTCTTGATTTTGTGTGCTGTTCTTTTATGTTGGCTTGTTTACAAAACTGTTGTGTTTGGTACGATTTCGACATGTGCGCGCGTGTGGTCTTTGTGCAGTTTTTTTGCAAGGGGTTCTTGATCAGGTTTTTTTTGATAAGCGAGTGTGCGCGCTTAGTGCTGTTGACATGGATGCGGGGAGCGATACCCAATTTGGTAGGGATGGTACGAGTTCAAATGGAAAATGAACGGTGATGCACAGTCTTATGTAATTTGCGGTGCTCCAGGGGGGGTCGATAAATCCTGGGGGGAAGGGTGGTGGAGTGAGGCATTCTTTTGCAAGAAGAATATCTGCCATCTGTGTGTGCAACCTATTCGGTGCAACCTCTGATGTCACCGAATGTCTGGATACATGTAATGTCCCGCCCTGTGACGTTCGCCTCAATCGTCCGTCTTTTGGGCCATATCATACCTCGGGCCTTTGGCGGCCCCTCCGGGACGACTTGGGCATTCCGGGAACGCCTTCGGAGGGGCACAGCTGCCAGAACGCCCCCCCCGAGGCAGGAAGATTGCCTAGGGTCGACAAAGATTTCGAAGACCTCAAGCCTCGAGCCTCGAACCTCGAAGCTTCGGAATCTGTAAGGGCCATCGTTGCCTCCAACTTCTCGCCGCCGCCCCAGGCGCGACGCGCTGCGCGCCGAGCGGCGCCTCGCGGCGGAGCGGCTGCGCGCGCTGGAGGACCCGGCTTGGGCCTTCTTGGCGGCCTGCGGAGCTCCCCGGACCCTCTGAGCTGCTCGCGTCGGTGACGAGATCGCCCTCCTCCTCCTCCTCCTCCTCCTCCTCCTCCCCCTCCTCCTCCTCCTCCTCCTCCTCCTCCTCCTCCTCCTCCTCCTCCTCCTCCTCCTGTGTCGCGGAGTCCTCCAGGGGTGCCCCCTCTCGGGGTCTGTGTGGGCGTTGCTTGTCGACCCTGTGGCGAGGCTGCTCCCTGTGGCGTGGCGAGCCTCCTTGCGGGCAAGAGTTGCATCCATATCCACTGCGTCTTGGACTCTCGGGAAGGTGCGCCAGAAGGCAGAAGCGCACTGGATATGGATAAGCATCTAGCCCCTAGGAGCCGGATTTTTGTCAAGGTTCTCTGCGCCTCGGGTTTCCAGGGCATGGAGGCCCAAAGTCCAAGATACAGTGGATATGCAGTGGATGTGGATACAAGCCGCGCCTGCATTTCTCTCCCAGGCATCCAGCGTCTCGAAAAAGTCGAGACGGGGGGTTCTCATCGCTTTCGGCCTCTCGGGGCATAACGGGCTTCGGGTCCATCAAAACATATCAAAACACAACTCGGGGTGAAGAACCCGTCCCGGGGAAGTGGTCGCGAGATCGGGGGCCCGTGAGGCGCCGGATGTTTGGGTCTTCTCGTCGCGAAAAATCATGATTGTAGGTTTTTGGCTGTTTTTGGTCGGCGAGGGCCCAGGACCGTCAAGAAACGTTCAGGGAGAACCGTCTCCCGGGAAGTCGTCCAGAATTCTGGGGACCCAGTACGGACAGAGTCCAGACGTTGGAGTTCTGGCATGGTTTTCGATAATGGTCGGCCTCCAAGTGATCTCACTGGTCGCAGGGACCGTCAAATCAAGAGTTGGGACCCAGATCTCCGACGACGTGATTTTTCAGCCGGCGTTTTTCTTCGTTTTCGGCCCTCCAGGGTGGTTTTCAGGACCCTGGACCGTCAAACATGAATCTGGGACGAAAAGCTACCTCCAGGGAAACGGTCGGTATTTCGAGGGCCGCGGGTTGAAAAAGTCACATCGGCGGGTGTCAGGGGTCGAGAAACCAGTCCCGAGGAAGGAACGCAGTGAACGAAGCGCGTCCGGCGGGGGAGTTCAAGTCACATCGGTGCATGTCCAGACCTCCAGGGGCCCACATTGTGAACAAAGCGCGGCGGCGGAGTTCTGGGGTGCTCGACCCCTCCGCTCTGGAAGTCCCAAGACGGTGGGGTGAGTCAGTATTGATATCTCTGGGCCTCCCAGATGGGGTCCGAGTAGATGGGGGCTCTGGGAGGCCTCCAGTGTCGGGGTGGCCGCACGGTTCTGGGACTCGGGTCGCTTCCCGAGGATGTCCCCGGCGTTTTGGGGCCTCCAGGGTCCCAAAACCGTAGGGCGTCGGACCCCGAGTCAGATGTTCGATCATGGATCTCTCGTTAACTGCAACAATCCAGCTGTCGCGCCGAAAACTGCAGGAAACCGTGGAAGACCGCCAGAAACCGACGAAGACCGCCGAAGACCGTCAGAAAGCCGCCGAAGGCCGCCAGAATATGCCGAACGTCGCCGGAAGACCGCCGAAGACCGCCCGAGGCAGATGGGGGAGCGAGGGGTCCGTGGTCGAGCACGCAGCCTGGGGGTGAGGTCCTGCCGGGATTTCGAGGTCACCGCACGGTCTGCGCCCCCTTCCCCCGCGGGCCTCCTCCCTCGGGGCGCGGACCCTCGGGGAGGCTAGATGGCAGCTCCCGCGGGAGGTCAGATGCGGCATCGGCGCCGGTATCTGCGCGGCCGGAGCCCGTCCTGCTCCAGCCCGGGTCAGCTCAAACCTCTGCCATGAGGGCGCATGGCGTTCTCGCTCGCCTGCTGGCTCGATGCCGTTCCATCTGACTTGGACATGGGCCTGATCTGGCCTGATCCGGCCGAGTCCTGGGCCTAATCTGGCCCAAATCTGGCTTCATGGCCCCTTAATCGGGCCCAGCAGCCCTCAACCGATCCCACGAGGATCTCCCAGGAGTTGCCTCCTAAGGGCCCCAGCTTTCCCAGGGATTCCCAAGGCCGCCTTTGCGAGTCCCAGAATCGGATGCTTACAGGTTGGCACCAACACCAATATCGGCTGATGGCTGCGCCGAGGGAGGAGGATCTGCCGAGCGGCGGCGCGAGAACACGGGGGCACCGTGGGCTAGGACCACGCCTCTGGCAACCGCCGACCGCTGTCCTGCCTTGAATACGGGTGCGTGTGTGCCTTCTCCTCCTCCTCCTCCTCCTCCTCCTCCTTCTCCCCCTCTTCCTCGTCTTCTTCCTCCTCCTCCTCCTC